TGAAAATAAAAATATGTGTTTTTTACTGATACACACATATACGTGTGTCTACATGTGTATTGTTTATAAAGAGTAAACTATGTTTTTATGAATAATTTGTGGACTATAAGAAGCATTCTGCAGACTATTTTCTAAGCGACATTGTGGCAGTTCTATTGTTTAGTTTTTATTATTTAAATATTTAGTTTTTGCAAAACGGTGGCTTTTTGTAGTCAAAATAAATGCCAGTTTTTTTTCACATTTTTTATTGAACACATTTCAAAGCACATATGTGCTTTAAAAATGCACGTTTTTACAAAATTTAAAATGATTACCTATATAAGATAACAATTAAATAATAAATCCTATGTAGAATTATATTGATATATTGATTGCGTTATGGGTAGCGGATTGCTATTCGATAACTGTATTTGATAGTATGCGATCGATACATCGTACCAGCAGTTAGTGACGGTATATATTACTTAAGGCGTGATTGTCATATGCGAATTTTATAAGCTAATTCACTCTAATATCAGAGATGAGTTTCAGTCCTTCAAAAATATTGCCCAAAATATTTTATTTGAGTTTGAGGCATCCGGACAGAACCCGACGATGTGTTCTGCGATGAAAACAGTTCTGTATTCTAGCATTAAGTTGTAGGTACCGCTGATATAATAAACTAGAGATAAGGAATATTATCAATACATATCTTGAATTATTCAATCCTTTATCAAAGTGCCATTTTAAAATACATAATTTTGTAATAATTTTGTAAGAGTCCGACACGTATTAGTAATCGTAATAATAGTACAACAATTTTCTGGGCACCAATAAATAAAGACACCATTTTTTTTTAATGACAGTATTTACTTGCAATTTTTTTTTATTTAAAACATATTTTACTGAGCAAATTGTCTCAGGTGGTACGATTTGGTAAGTGATTAAATATTTTTTTTAGATTTTAAAATCAAGGCGTATTTTTATATATTGTTTAATAAATAAAAAAGTATATTATTTGAGACTAATTTATAGTTTATGGTTTCAGTTTCTTATGCTCTTCATAATGCCTTCACGAAAGAGTATAAGTTAATTTTATATAACAATGATCATTTTGTATAAAAAACACAACCCAAATATGCATTGGTGTCAGAATTTGTAAGGATTTTTTAAAAACCTGCCAAAGTACAAATCTTGCGACCCTGAGACAGTTTGATCTCCAACTTACCACTTTTGTGAGAAGTTTATTTCGACTTAAGCAAACTTCGTTGGCAACTTTTAAGTTACACATTTAAGCAGTAGTTTACATATTCAGCCAAGTAAACAGAGCACAACAACTTTTACTTACTTAACAACACACACACACACACACTCACCCGAAAGGACTTTCGTATTAAGTCCTTTGGGTGTGCGTTGTATGTTCAAAGTGTGAGCCAACAAACAATTTTCATAACAATTTAACAACATTTGCCTTTGTTGTTTATCAAATTTGTTACTAAGTTTTGCATTCTTTGTTTTCACTAAAATTTTTCTCTTTTTTCTATCGCATTCTTTTTTCCGCATTCTTACTCATACACTTGAGTATGTTTCACTCTGGGAATTGTTTCTGATTGATTATTGTTGGTTATGTCATTGTTGATCCTCTGCGCTTGATTTGTTGTTTGATGTTTGGGATTAAACGAGCTAAACGTATTGTCGGGTTAAAACTTGAGAAAAATTAATTAAATTAAATTTTGTATCTAATGAATATCTTTTTAGCTGAAGGACTAATAAAATGTAAAGATTTTAGGAGGAAAAATCAAGGAAATTGAAGACTGTTCGCTAAAAGCAAATACTTAAAAAAAAAATTAGACAAAATTGTTAAATCTTAAATAAACTAAGATAACCTTACAGTCAATTTAAAACTGCAGGATATAAATAAAATGTTTTATATTTATAAAATGCTTTATACTATTATATCCTATAAGATTTAATTTAAGAAGAAGTTGTCAACAATTTACTACGTTACTGTTCTCCAATTTCAAATTTAATTCGTCCTCATAATTAAATACGTTTAAAAACTATATTCCTTCAAAATTTATTCATTTAAAAAATTTTCAATCGTTTTAACCTAAAACATTATTTTCATCGAATTTTTTTGTAAATATATATTTAATTTATTTTATATACAAAATCTCAATACTATTTTTTCTTGTGAACAGTTTTAACCACTGCTTCTACATTCTATCGCACATCGACTTTCCACATTCGCCCAGATCTATCGGTGCGAAGGAGGCTTTTGAAGGTCTTTATCCTCTAGTTGATCCTCTTCTGTGGCCTAGTGCATCACAGTTAGTGAAGAGATGTTCCATAAACTCTTTCTCATACACCATCTCAACAGCAAAATCTGTAAATCTTTGTCTCGAATGTATCTATTTTGTCTCGATGCTTATTGCAGGCGGTGTGGCCTATTAATGCATTTGAATGTGACTTTAGGCTCCTCTTGTTTAAATTGAGAACAATGTTTGCTATTTAGACAATCAAATTCAAGAATTTCATAGCGTATCTTAATTACTCAATAATAATCTGCTTGCTTGAGCTTACCTGCATTAGCTTATTAAGAAATTAACTTGATCAATATCGGCACCAAAGCCGATAACTTGATCTTAAGCAACAAGATATTCCATCTATCCCTAAGTCTGCAAGTGCTGCTATATATAGTATGTTATAGTCTTCATACGCAAGAAATTTCTACCTAACTGTCAGTTGTTTTTGTGACTACAAATGCTTCTAGTTAGGATGTATACAATTTGTGGTTGTATAATATCCAGAATCACCCTACCTTATATGGGGAGTTAACCCTTAGAGTCGACAGTTTTTCTTAAACGCAGCAATAAGGTAACAGTGCTTTAAGCTCAACTTTCAGGTATCAATATTCTACACGCGAGCACAGGTGAACCCATTATCTTGTACAGCAAAAGCGTGGTTATAATAGTAAAGGGGACGGTTAGATTCCGTAATTAAATTTTGCTTAAATAAATTTTTAAAATATACCAAATACTTTTACTCCATTTTTATCTATTCAAAGTAATTAATTTCATATTAAATAAAATAACAAACTTAGATAAAAAAGCATTTAAATAACATTTTTATACTCTTATAAAAACTTTGGTCTACTAAATGAAATTAAGGTTGAACAATTTTATTAGAGCTCATGTCGCCAAAACATGAATTCCGAGAAAAAGTTAATAGATAAATAAAAACCATATTTTTGCCATTACATGTGATTGTGTCAGTTCTATTTTTTGATTCGAATAGAATCCCACAAGCCTTTGGCAAATTACTCATACCACTTGGTCACTGTAGTGACATCATAAAAAGCATGTAAAAAATGGCTTCTTTCTTTTCGGCAGCCATTAAAATAGACTTCTTACCATGTGAATACAACCTTGAGCGTGAGTTTCATATAACAGACATTTTAATACTTTGAAATTTATAATGTGAATGGAATATGAACGAATGGAATGGAATGCAAGCCGAAATGAGTGGCTTAAATCTGCTTGGTTAACTGAAATATATACCATTTCGCATTATAACAGATATACGCCTCAATCTCAATTATTATTTATATTATTGTGTTTTTATGCGAAGGGCTATTATGCGGAAAATCTACTATTATCACACATACTCAAATAAGGCGTACGAGTATGTAAAATATACTGTCAGACGCAGGAAACACACAACTTACAAAAGCTGAAAGGAATATGTTTTATATTAAACAATACAATGTCTGTCTGTTGTCAACTGCAGGAATTGTTTTTTGTTTCTTACATTTTTTATCTTTTTTTGTTATTATATCTATATTTATCACTCATTCAGTTTATTGGTAAAGAGTTAAAGTAGGTATTTTGTTTTTAAATAGATTGTCAAATATTTAAATTTATATTCGGTTTGATTTGGTTCCTCTTTAACATATAAATATGTTAATCATATTTTATGTAACGGCAGCTTTATGAAGCTGATATCATTTGCATTGATTAAAATATTCATTGCTGTCATTGCCATTGTTGCTGTTGATGCTATTACCTTGCAATCCAGTCGGTTGCTGTAAATTACTTTACATAAATCCTTGAATTAGTTAAATGTCCTTACAATGAAATCATGCTCGCCTTGTGAAGTGGTGTAGGGGAATTTAAAGACTTTCGACTGCATACATTTATATCTCACAGGCTTATCAACATCTTAATCTTAATTGAGAAATTTGCTGATGTGATGTTAATGTACAACGTGTTGTAGTGGAAGTTGTTGTTGTTTTGTTTAAAGTGTTAATTTTTACGATAAGGTTGGAGTAAAGTTTAAACTGTTAACTAAGTATTAGTATTATATGGTATAATGTTTTAATTACAGTTTTAATTATAGCTTTAAGAATTATTATGCTAATTTTGAATGTTATGTATCAGTGGAAACATAATTAATATTAAGCAAATAAATTATGTTTTTAATTTTGAAATTTAATATGTATATTTCTTTATTTTTAGCACTGGGAAATTACAACAAATTACAAGAACTATCATATTTATCTACGCATAAAATGAGAGAAAGACACTTAAGTAATTATGCATTGCATAATAACAGAAAATATTTGTATGAATATTATAAACATCCAAAAGTAATGCAACACCTACTAAATAATAATATATGCAATAAACCCAAATCTTGTATAAATTTAAATATGAAAATTTGCTCAATCTATAACATATCCTACAAAGGATTTAAAAATGCAAAGCTCCAATTGCAAAGACGCTTAATTGCAGTCAAATATATACTTTTCCGGGAATAAAAATTCACTATAAAAACAAAAAGTAACTTCTAATTTTTAGTTTATTTTTCCTTCCTTCATTTGAATCTTCTATTTTTTATTTTATATTTTATTTATATATATTTTATTTACTTATATTTTTTTTTTCATTTATACCAAACCTTAGTAATTTTAGTTACGTTTTCATTTCGTCAAAAGTAAGTTTCGAAATTTTGAAAGTTAATTTCGTTTAAAAACAATGCGTGTTCCTCCTGTGACGTTGAAAGCACGGAATTTGTAATTCAAATTAGTAGACAAAAAAATTCGTTAAATATATTCGGAAATTATTTACATAAAAACTATGATAACAAGACTTTACAACACGGAAGAAGACCCCGCTTTGTGTTCAATAATTTGGGGTGCTAATTTAACGGCAACGTCTGGCGGTCGTAACGGTAATGCGGATGGAATAAGCGCAACACCAACTTTGGATGGAAATTTTGGGAACAGCGGTGATAATTTACGTGATGACTTTTTCATCGCAAATGAGGTAAGTGCTTGTATACTCTACGGTATAATGTAAGGAAACTTCGAAATTATTTTAAAACTTCTTGAAGCAATTTTGATGTTCAGGTTTTCATTTTTTTTCAACTAGTCAAAAAAATTGATGTTAAAGGCATTCTTTGTGATTAAGGTTTACTTTAGAACTTAAGTTTTAAGGATTTATTAAAACGATATGATTAACTTTCATTCAATTTTATATGATTATTTTTTCTTATCAATGTACCAATAATATACCAATTATTGTCTGATATCAATATATGAGTATATATATTATACAATATCCTAGGTTTAAAACAATTAACCTTCATAAGTGTATAAAATTAATATGAAAAAATTATTTACAGATGTCCTTGCGCTTTCCACAAGGGTAGGTTAGATTAGGTTAATATGACAGTAGGTCTGGCGGACGGCTCATTTAAAGCATATAGGTAAATTTTGATACCATTGTTTCAAATGTAGCCATAACTGCTTAAGGCCACCTAATGTACCTACGTGAGCATTGCGATAGCACTGTTTGAAATGTGGTTTTAACTGTTTAACATATCTTTTAGAATAATAATGACACTTTTATAAAGCGCAAAATATTTTTAATTTAAGCACTGGACACGTCTGTAATAGAGCTAAAGTCACGTTTGGCAAAGAATTTCGTCTATCCATTATCGAGAGCTGCGCAGCTACAGGAAAAACAGTTCACTAACAAGGTTTAGTTTCAGAAAAGAGTGATGTATATCTTGTAAACCCCTACACAAGTTCTACAAAATAACTGAGTGATCCGAGAGGCAATTATTCCACAGCAGCGTACTTTAAGATTTTATTTGCCTTTGTTTTGTCGGTGTCAGATTAAAATAACTTCGAATGGATAATAGTATTTCCATATTACTGTAGTTTAAACAAATAGATAACATTAGATCATTGTGATTTCTAAAGACCAAATACCCTGATAGCTTATTCGATTGTTTTCACTTTAATTAAAGCATTACGTATTTCTAAAGGTCTCTCTCTATTACCAGAAATTTTTCTTCCAATATGTATGTATTTATATAAATGTGTCTTCGTATGTAATAGAATATCTAGTAATTTTTGACAAGACTTAATCCAATGTCTGTTTGTATTACCGGAATCATTCTTTCCAAACTTAAGCCGACACCTAGAAAATAAATATCTAATAGAAGAACTAGTGATTTTTGACTAGACTTAATCCAAACGTCACCTTGATGCCTTTAGTAGCCCAAGTTTTTTATGCAAAATTGATTGCATTTTAAATCTGCGCTTAAAAGTATCTCAGAAATCTTTTATACTCTTTTTTAACTCGAGGTATTTTCAAAACCCCTCTTTACACCTTGACTAGATTATATTTATATTAATTTATTTGCATTTAAGCTAATATCTTTTTATCTTATCTAATATTTAGAAAAGATTCAATTTTCATAAATTTTAAATAACTTTAAATAAAATAAGCTGATTGCTTTCGTAACAATAATAAGTTAATCATTTTAAGTATCCTTTAAAATTTTTCATCTGAAGTTACTTACTCCGAGAGTCTGCGAAAAGTGTCAGTAAAAGTCAATATGTGCACACTTTTGACTTCAACTTCTTCAGCACACTTAAATTAATTCTATTGACGGTATTTAAATTCCAAATCCACGACACAAGAATCAATAAAATGCAAATTTATTAGGACAACATTTAAAGTTTAACAACTCAAAATGAACACAGACAGATTTTTGAAATTATTTTGATTTTATTAAATTTTCACTGAAATTTAATAGCAGTCGAAATGAGCAGCATCCATTGCAAGGAATGTGTAACTGTGTCACTTTTCACAGTGGAAAATCTTCAGAAAAATTGATTTTCTCTATGTAAGCCACAGCCTGTCTGACTGCCAACAACGACATTGACAGGATTCATTTATTCATTTGTTTTGCAGTCAAAATTCTCAGAAGGTGGGCCCGCAACGTGCATGGCCTAGAAGAAACCTTTTTGGTAGTATTTGTTTAAAAATGAGTACGACTTTCCTGCTACTTTTGTTTCTAGGTTGTGCTGTATCTAATACACTTTATCTACATTTTAGTCAAAAATAAAGGAAAGCATTGACGTTTTCTGTACTTAACTGAATATTTTATTTGACTTTTTTTACTTCTACTTTTGCTGTATATTTTATTTTTATATTTATTTTTATTTTTATAGAGTGTGGAGGACCCACGTACAGAAGCGTTACGTGAATACTCATATGGCATTATTTTGCCTATTATCTGCGCGCTCGGCATCATTGGCAATGTGCTAAATCTGATTGTACTTACACGCAGGAATATGCGGGGCACGGCCTACATTTACATGAGAGGTAAGTAATTTGTATATAAAATATATATATTAAATCGGAATAAAAAATTTTTTTGTGCTGTTTTTTGGTAAATAAATTTAAAAAAATTTTTGCTTAAATAAATTTTAACAAAGTTTAAAAGTAAATTTTTTCAAAAAATTTAAGTTAGATTGTATGTAGCTGAATATATCTATTTAAATCTATTTATTTTATAAAAAAAAATATTTATGTGTTAGTTTTAATGATAAGCATAACAAGTACAATACTTAATTATGAATAACAAAGATAATACGAACTCCAAGTTCGAATTATACTAAATAAGTTTGCATTGAACTTCTGTATTAACACATGAGTTCATAATTCAAAGGTGACATGGCTTACCTATAAGCGGACAATTAAACCAATTCATTTTCTGAAGATCACTGCTGACGAATATTTGGCTATATCCAAACTGCTATGTGATCAACCCAAGAATTTACGTAGGTGAACTGAAGTGAGGATTAACTCCTCCTCAATTAGACAAAAAAAACTATTTTGATGACACATTTCTTGGAAATTTAGGTAGAAGATTGAACACATGGGAATTAACCAAACTCCTTTAGATACAAGTGTAAATCAAAACTAATCTTAGAACTACTGCTGTGTATATAAAAGAGTGAGGCACCCGAAAACGTAAGCCTGGTTCTCGACAAGTCTGGACATAGACGCAACAGATGCGTCGGTGTCTTGAGTACCGGTAAACATATATTGAAGGAAATTGAACAGCCCAAGAATTTGCTTGGTTAAAGAATTTTATTTATATATAAAAATTTCCTTACTATTGCCACTACAACCGTGTTAATTGAAATTCGATTTTTAGTCATATCTATATCTGATTGTTTTTAATTTTATTAAAACTCAACTAATATACATTGAAAAATGAGTTGTGCAAGACGTTTCATTTACGAGTTCCTAAAATACTTTTTTGGGAGCAGCTCAAAGTTTCACTAGTGATCTAAAATCACAGTACACAGTCAAATGAAGAAGGTCGTCTGTCACTTGTGTACAATTACAAATGTCTATATAATATAAATGCATGCGCAAACGTCAACCTCAGCCTTCTCTTGGCGACGATCCCCGTTTTTTACGAATGAGCCTTAATGACGACCGAGTTTTCAGCGGTGTATCTGTTCCCATCCATCGGTATACTATGGAAAATAATAGTTAACAACGACCGGATTACGGCAGGTTCGGAAGCTTTTTTCTTACTAATACTTTATATTAAGGCGGAAGCCATACCTCCGAACTTGAATGCCTTGGATTCATCTTATCTTATTACATCTGAAATTCAAAAATTTATGTATTCACAAGAATATTAATGCATAATATGATTAAGTCTTGAATAAAAGTTTCGTTCATCCATCATATTATCTGTTATCCGTCATTATCATCATGTTATCAAAGTAAACTTCTCTCTGCGGGACTGACTGAATTCTTAATAAAAGAGCAATTACTAGAGATTTTTTTATGTAAATTAAATTTAAAACTATTATCAATTTTATTGCAATATAATTATTTCATTACAGCACATGTTGCTTGTGGCACAATTACAATTACTTGACCGCATTTAGTGGCTTCAATTAATGCGATGATTTTTATATGGTGACTTTAATTATTGCCAATATTCGTAATCAAAATGTTTCATTCACACAACTCGGGATATCTAGTAATGAAAAAATGACAACAATGAATATGAAAAACCATCGAAGATAAAAACACAAATGACTTTTTGTACCCGCATTCGGATACGGGTGCCATGAAGAGCGTTTTATTTGCTATGTCATTGACACCATTTCCTCCTATTGGCTACCTTTTTTTCCGTCATACATTACCAATTTTCTTTTGAATTGTTTGTTGTTGTTGTTGTATATTCCCTCTTTTATTTTTGTTTCGTGCTCACTTATCAGCAAATTTCATTAACACAAAGTGTCAATTTTTTCCGACGCGTCAAAATGATTTTCCAAATAACTTTTACTAGTCGAATTTTGTTTTATGATTTACGAGTGTTTTCCCCCTTGCAGGCATTAATTTCTTTTCAAAAAATTCAAATCGAATTTGCAAATCATTTTATATTTGTTCAAAATTTTCCAATGTTTTTATTGAAAGTATAAAAATAAACACAAAATATTAAGTATGCAATATAAAGAAAAGATATTTTGAACTTTTCTGCAGTTGAAAGGCAATTTCAGACCCTTTACTTGTGGCTCACATGAGCATTTGGAGTTTTTCACATAATTTTATTGTTCTTACGGCTTTGAAGCAAAATTGGGTGGAAAATTTGATCAAAATGTTTATTTGAAAATAAAAGCCATAAAATAAATTTATTAGTAAACAATAAGTTTTAATGATCAGTGCTTAACAAAAGATTGCCAGATTTGTCAAGTAAGTTGATTAGGAAATTTTACTTTGGGGAAAAAATATGTTTGCAAGTATTTTCACCAAAATTAAAAGACATGTTTTTTTTTATAACTGACTTTATACCAACAATTTACTTTATTAAATACTTAATCAAAAAGCAAGTTGATACTTGGATGATAAGTAATTGAAGTATTAAAATCCTTCCAAAAATGTCTTACTCCTGTGTAGGTATTAATATGTCTGGAAATGAAATATACTCAAACATTATTTGATATAAAATAAATTCAAAACTTGTAAAACCATTAAAATAGATTAAAAGCCTCGATAAATCAAATTCAATTAAAAGATAAGGCATTGAAGTTTAATGAAGTCATCAACTGATATAGCTCGAACACAATGTATGGTAGACTAGCGTTGCTTAATATTCCTTCTAAGTAAAAAGAATGCATTTTAAAAGTGTGCCTACTTTATTTAACTTTTAATTAAATAAACAAAATTAAGAGAATATTATAGCTAATATCAACACCGCGTTATCGAATTTCAGAATGGTTACAAGCTTCAAGGGGAGATATGCAGATCAGAGATCAGTTATTGCTTAGTATGATGAAGTGATAAAAAATAATCCAGTGAAGGCGTAGAGAGGAGTTATGAAGAAACCTCGCAGTGAATAAAAAGTAGAAGTGCTCAAGTGCACTGACTCAATTAGCCTCAACATTATAATAATACTATAATTTTTATAAAATTAATCATTTTTATACTTATATTAAACTACTCAATAATGGATATATAACAGTCTAATACTGAAGGGAAAAACATAGTATAGCTAGTTATAGTTACTAATAACTATATACATATAGTTTATAGATTTAAACAAATCTATACTAACATAAAAAAAATTTAAAAATTATAATGATATAGATGTGACTATTTATTTTACTAAACAGAAACTATTATATTTTTTAGCAAGGCTTCGTACAATACTGAATTGCAATAACAAAAATTTTTAAATATTTTAATTAATTAAAGTTTTGGGTGACCATTCAGCTGTTTCATGTATTGCCAATTACCCACTTATCATTATAAAGATTTCAAATTTTTTCCTTAATATAGAGAATATATATTTGATTGCCAGATACGTTTACGATACAATGTTCGAACCAATACAATAGGTTGCCATTGTGGTTGCGATATTTACAACTAATTCATACTGCTATCAATAGTACGACAAGGTTGAAAGCACTATTGAGACACACATAGTGTGAGACTTGAACCCACTAAAAGCACCTCTTAGGAACGCGCTGAGACGATCCCAGCTATCATACTATAAAAGGCTTCCGACTAACATCGCATTCTAGTAATCACGAAGTGAAACATAAGAAGTTTAATATTTGAATTCCCAAAGCTATTTAAGCTGAAATATACATTGCTTCATCATTTTATTTTGGACCTCCACAAGTTAAACTTATCAAAAATGGGAGGAGCAATACAACTGGTTGCCTCTTATTATTGAGATATATATTGGAATGTTATTGAGATTGAGATATATTAAGTAATATTGAAGTATTATCGATTTCCAGCATAAGTATAGAATTACATTGGTAAAAATACACAAAACCAGAGCTCCAAATAACTATCTTGTTTGAATAATTAAAAAAACTTATTAATTTTCATAATTAGCCATAAAGTATTTCATTATAACTTTTTCGTTTTTTTTTAACTTCAAACATAAAGCATTTTCAACAAGACTTCCTTCGTGAGAATTATCAAATGAATAAGATTGCATTATGATAAAATCACAAAAATTGAAAAAACCAAACTTATTTCACATTTTCAAATCCCATCAACATACATACATTAATATATTCATTTGAAATATATGCATATCCTCTTCAGCATATCATTAATCTATATAAACTCACATAATACAAAACTTTTAAAACATTTCGAAGCTCATTAAAGGACTACCATGAAATGCTTCTAAGCTCCTGCTGCACATTTCAAATAAAATTTTAATTATGTATCCTTTTTGTATCCTTTTTTCGTAAAATTTCGCAAAATTATAATGCAAAATTAAATGAATTTTTTTTTAGAAACGGTAAAGAAATCCTTAAAATGTCAGATTATGTGACTCTACGTTAAAATAAATTAAATAATTGCATAAAATATTTATGGGATCTTTTAGGAAACAAAAGCGAAAAAACTCATTTGCATTTCGCAATAATTTAATTTAATATTTAGCCAAAATCTACTTAAACTGGTATTTAAAATTTTATAATTCTACTAATGCTACTTACTTAAATAAGCCGCAGATAAAAAACATTAGGTTTATGGTGCTGCACTCTAAGTTGGGCATAGGTAATTACATGAGTTTAATTAGTTGATGCAGTTCTCCGATTGGAATGTGATACCTATACTTCTTAATGATATTTTTTGAAATATATATGTGAGTTTAACATATAGTTTTCTGTTCAAATCAGTTTTGAATTTTATTTAAAAACGCTAAGATATAAATTTTATTTTCTTACTGGTTTGAGTTATATTAGTAACGTGAGTATTTATTGATACATTTTACAATATAATTTTAACCAAGACTCAAGTTTGATAATCCTCAGACTTGATTTTCC